GTCATAGGGTAGAAGATCATTATAAAAAACAAGAACGAAGGATAAAAATCATGATCATCTCAAGAGATGCAGAAAAACATCCGACAAAGCACAACATCCATTCATGATAAAAACTCTAACAAATTGGGCTTGGAGGGAACATACCTCAACATAATAAAAACCATGTATGACAAACCCAAAGCCAATATCATACTCATTGGTGAAAACCTGTGAGCTTTCGTCTAAGATTAGGAACAAGACAAGATGTCCACTCTCATTATTTTTATTCAACCTATTACTAGAAGTCCTAGCCACAGCAAAAAAGGAAATAAAAGGCATCCAGATTGGTAAGAAAAAAGTTAAACTGTCACTATTTGTAGATGACATGATACTATATATAAAAACCCTAAAGACTCCACCAAAAAACTATTCGAATTGATAAACGAATTCAGTAAAGTTGCAGGATACAAAATCAACATACAGAAATGTGTTGTGTTTCTACACACAAACAACTAACTGGCAGAAAGAAAGAAAAATCCCATTTACAAATGCATCAAAAAGAATAAAATACCTAGGGGGGTGCCTGGGTGGTTCAGTCGGTTGAGCATCCGACTTCAGCTCAGGTCATGATCTCGCAGTTCGTGAGTTCAAGCCCCACGTTAGGCTCTGTGCTGACAGCTCAGAGCCTGGAGCCTGCTTTGGATTCTGTGTCTCCCTCTCTCTGCCCCTTCCCTGCTCATGCTCTGTCTCTCTCTGTCTCTCAAAAATGAATAAACATTAAAAAAAATTAAAAAAGAATAAAATACCTAGGAATAAATTTAGCCAAGGAAGTGAATTTAACCTGTACACTAAAAACTGTAAGACACTGAAGAAAACACAACAAGTGAGAAAATATACCATGCTTGTGGATTGGAAAAACAAATATTGTCAAAATGTTCATATTACTCTAGTAATCTAAAGATTCAACACAAAATACCCTATCAAAATACCAACAGTACTTTTCACAAAACTAAAATGAATAATCCTAAAATTGTATGGAAACACAAAAGATCCTGAAAAACCAAAGCAATCTTAAGAAAGAACAAAGCTGGAGGTGTCATAATCCCAGATCTCAAACTATACTGCAAAACTATAGTAATCAAAATAGTATGGTATTGGGGCACCCGGGTGGCTCTGTCGGTTAAGCCTCTGAGTTCAGCTCAGGTCATGATCTCATAGTTCATGAGTTTAAGCCCCACATCAGGCTCTCTGCTGTCAGCACAGAGCCCGTTTTCAGATCCTCTGCCCCCCTCTCTCTCTGCCTTTATCCCGCTCATGCTTTCTCTCTCAAAAATAAACATTTTTTAAAAATACAGTATGGTATTGGCACCAAAAAAAAAAAAAGACACATAAATCGATGAATAGAATAATGTCCAGCAATAAACCCATGCTTGTATGTCAATTAATCCACAAAAACTAAGCAAGAATATACAATGGGAAAAAGACAGTCTCCTTAATAAATGGTGCTGTGAAAACTGTACAGCTACAAGCAAAAGAATGAAACCGGACCACTTTTTAACACAACAATAAACTCAAAATGGTTTAAAGACCCAAATGTAATACCTAAAACCATAAAACTTTTAAAGGAAAACACAAGCAGTAAACTCTTGACATCAGCCTTAGCCACATTTTTCTGGATCTGTCTCCACAGGCAAGGGAAACAAAAGCAAAAATAAACTACTGGGACTGCATCAAACTAAAAAGATTTTACAAAACAAAGGAAACCATCAACAACAAAAAAAGGTAACCTATCATATTTGCAAATGATATATCTGACAAGGGGTTAATATTCAAAATATGTAAAGAACTCATACAACTCAACACCAAAAACCCACAATGATCTGATAAAAAAATCGGCAGACAACCTGAAGAGATATTTTTTTCCAAAAAAGACATACAGACACATGAAAACATGCTCGACATCACCAATTATCAGGGAAATCAAATCAAAACCCACAATGAGATATCACCTCACACCAATCAGAATGACTAGTATCAAAAAGACATAAAATAAGTGTTGGCAAGGAGGTAGAGAAAAGCAAACCCTCATGCATTATTGGTGGGAATATACATTGGTACATCCACTATGGAAAACAACATAGTTTCCTCAAAATATTAAAAATAGAAATCCTGTACAATCCAATAATTTCACTTCCACATTTACCCCCCCAAAAATACTAATTCAAAAAGATATATGTACTCCTATGTGTACTTCAGCATAATTTACAATAACCAAGATACGGAAGCAACCAAAGTATCTATCAATAGATGAATGGATAAGGATGATGTAGTATATTCACAACAGAGTATTTTTTTAATATTTATTTATTTTGAGAGAGAGTGCATGTGCACGTGTGCAGAAGTGGGGAAGGGGCAGAGAGGGAGAGAGAGAATACCAAGCAGGCTCCATGCTTTCAGTGCAGAGCCCAACACAGGGCTCGATCTCAAGAACCGTGAGTCATGACCTAAGGCAAAATCAGGAGTCTGGCAGTTAACCGACTGAACCACCCAGGCACTCCCACAATGGAGTATTACTCAGCCATAAAAGAATGAGCTCTTGCCATGTGCAACAACATGGATGGACCTTGAAGGCATTATGCTGAGTGAAATAAGTCAGAGAAAGACAAATATCATATGATTTCACTTATCTGTGGAATCTAAAAATCAAAACAAGACAAACAGAAACAGACTCATAAATACAGACTGGCAGTTACCAGAAGCAGGGAATGAGAGGATAAGCAAAATAGGTGAAGGGGAGTAAGAGGTACAAACCTCCAGTTATAAAATAAATGAGGATAAAAAAGTACAGCATAGGATATGTAGTCAATAATATAATAACTTTGTGTGGTGACAGATGGTAACCACACTTATCCTGGTGAGCATTTTGTAACATATATAATAGTTGAATTACTGTGTTGTACATCTGAAACTAATATATAAACTATACTTCAGTTTTTTAAAATCCATTTAAAAAATAAAAACTATACTTTTATATATCAGCAATAAAAAATTGGAAATTAAAATTAAAAATAAATAGCACTTATAATAGCATCCAAAAAAATGAAATAATTAGGGATAACTATAACAAAGCATATATAAGACCTATACATTAAGGACACCTGGTAGCTCAGACTGTTGAGTGTTAGACTCTTGATTTCTACTCAGGTCATGATCTCGTGGTTCATGAGATCAAGCCCTACATAGGGCTGTGCACCGACAGTGCAGAATCTGCTTGAGATTCTCTCCCTCCCTCTCTCTCTGCTCCCCTACCTCTTACACATGCTCTTTCTCTCTCTTTCTCTCTCTCTCTCTCAAAATAAATAAACTTTAAAAAAAGACCTATACATGAAAAAAACCACAAAACTTTGTTTAAGGAAATTTTCAAAAGTTTAAATAAATGGACAGAAAAACCTTGTTCATGGACTAGAAGACTAAATGACTCAAAACTCTTAAGATGCCTTTTATATAGGTATATGCGCATCTTATCATATGTAAAATTATACCTTAATAAGCTGATTTGTTTAAAAACTGATCAGTATATTTATTGTTGACACAGACTTTCCTGGAACAGAGTCATATACCAGTTATGCATTACCTAAGTAAGACCAAGGAACCTCAAGCTAAGAATTTAAATGTAGATCCCATCTGATAGACCTTTTAGGCATCTCCTAAGAATAAACTCAAAGCCTCTACAGAGGGCTTGGTGAAGGCCCCACAAATAATTTTTTCAAGAGCAATGACCGGAACATGATCATTGACACCAGGTACACAGGAAAACAAGGCAATATGAGTACTCGATAGCAGAAGCAGAACCAGTTGGAACAAACCTGAAAAGGCTTCAGACATTGCAATTATAAATGAAACAACTAAGGAAATTATAAAAAGTAACAGAGCAGACTTGAAAAGAACCAAATAGAGTTTCCAAATATAAAAATTATAATAGTCAAAATTTGAAACTCAGTGGTTGGATGTAATAACATTTTGCCCACAGCAAAACAAAGTACTAGTGAAATTTTTTAAAGAGTTATGAAAAAAATTCACAGAATGTACCACAGAGAGTCAGAAAATAAAAATTGAAAACATCTAACATGTAACACTCACGTTAGATAGTGTGAGGTCTAATTTATATTTTCTTGGAATCCCAGAAGGAAATGTGGCAAAACTTTAGAAAAGACTGGCATTTAATTTCTGAATAGCAACAATGGAAACCCAAGAAAATATAATATGCAGAGACAAAATAACTACTCACTAGATTTCTAGAGCCACTAAAATATCTCTCAAGATAGATGGTTATTAAAATAGCCCAAATTCAAAATCTAACTGTAACAAAACAATTAATCCTATCATCTTAATATTTGTCTTTAATTTTTCTCTTTACCTAGAATATATATATTGCTTTTAACATAATTAAATTCCTTAATATAATAATGAAAATGTCAGATGAAATTAGACATACAGAAAATCACAGAATTCTCAGGACTATTTGGATCCTAGTTTCTTTAACTATAAAATAAGGTTTTGAACAAGATGATTCTTAAGGTTGTTTTTAGTTCTGCACATGGCTACTGCATTATTGCAGTAAAAATTTCATTTAGTTAAATCAGTGGCATAAGTAACTTGAAAAATTAAGTGCTCTATCAGAGTTGCAAGTGATAATCTATATTTACGTTATCAGGCTTAGAATATAAAATAGAAGATAAAAGATTCACAAGGCACAGAAAAGAGTCATTTCCCTCCTATATTAAGTGAATACATATCAGAAAAAATAACTTAATTAGGTAAATTAAAACATTCTATTAATGAACCTGGAAAATTCTAACAGTACAGCAATGACTCATATAAGCACTGATACTAAGGAGCAAGTAACCTTTGTGCTACATGCAAATAGGGGATCTTTGTACATTTCACTACCCAAACACAGAAACATAGTTTTTATTTGGATGAAGGAAAAATAGTGTTAATGATCAAAAGTGTATGCTCACCTTGTAAAAACTCCTCCTTGCAAGCAATGAAGTAGAAGAAAACAATGCTGACTTTCTTGGCCTGCTTTTTTTAAATCAGCCTTGAACCAAGAATAACTAAAACACTGAACCACAAGTGTTCCAAAGAACATAAAGCTTACTGTTAAAATACCAAAAACATATTGTCCTTCATGGAAAAACCTGACAGACACCCAGATGTCCACAATTAAATCAGTTATATAGATTACAATGCCAAGAACTGACATCATAAAATTCAATTTAGTGTATTTCATTATGAATCACTATAGCTCTTGGTTAGCTACTTTTTTCTCTCTCACACACACACAAAGAACAAATATTTGTGTCCATTAGGATAGCAATGAATTTTAGTTTCTGTTCCCTGAATTTATTCAGAAGAAAGAATAAATATTATGAGATTGGAACACTAAAACTAAAGTGACTAATTTTAATTTTCTTTTCTAAACCTCCTATCCAGATCCAATGTTAAAAGTCTTCATTCAGTTTTCTCAATGATCTTCATTACAGATGACAACACCTAAAATGAAAGATACATAAAAGATTCTAAAAATCTTGAGTATAATATTAGTCCATGACTTTATCAAACATGTACTTTTTCTAAAAACAACATATTACCACTACATACAGTTCTTATAATAGCTTTGGTAAAGTAAAGCCTCAGAAATAAACTTATTAGTTGACAACTTCCTGTCAGACTACTTACCTTTTAAAAACCATAACCTACTAACAAAAATATTTATCACTTGTCTATCTAAAGTGGCAAAAAACTAGAAATGATCTAAATGTGGCAACATAAGGAATTGGTAACTAATGGTAGATTCACAAAATGCAACATTACACAGCTACCAAAAAATATTTAACAAAGTTGCAACAGCTGTGAAAAATTTTAATATGGTTCTTAAATTTTATTTTAATTCATTAGTTAACACACAGTGTTATATTAGTTTCAGGTGTACAATATAGTGATTCAACTATTCCGTACATCACCCAGTGCTCATCACCACAAATTCACTTCTTAATCCCCCATCATCTATTTCACCCATCCCCCCACCCACCTCCCCTCTGGTAACAATCAGTTTGTTCTCTATAGTTAACTTTATATAGTTTCGATTCAGCAATTCCACTGAATCAAGCCTAGGGAAATAGTCACAAATGTGTACAAAGATATGTGCTCTTTGCAAAACCTGTTTTTAGAACAGCAAAAAGTTGAAAACTATTTAGATGACAAGAGTCCTAGTTCAAGAAGTTAATTTACCTCCATAGCAAAGAATATACTATGCAACTTTTAAAAAGAATGAAGCAGCTCTGTATAAATTGACTTCAGAAGATCTCCAAGATATGTTAAGCAAAAAAAAGCAAGTGCCAGAAGGAAAAATATAGCATTTATGGTTTTCAATTATATATGGAGAAAGTAAGGAAGTTGGGAGTAGAAAGTAAATGCAATTTCAATCCTGTAATTAATTACTCTTTTATATTGTTGGAGTTTTTTCCAGAGACATGTACTCATGTATTACTTATATAATCTCTTAAAATAAAAATAATAGTAAATGATACTTTTAAAGAATTTGAATGACTGGAAAAAATGCTTATGCTACTAATGTTAGCTAACATTTACTTAGCCCTATGTGTCAGGCATTAAACTAAATCTTATACAAGATTTAGATGTAAGGTTAAATTTGATGTAAGATTAATTCTTACATGAAATTTAGGAGATAGGTACTACTATTATGACCCCTATTTTATAAATGTGGGCTGAATGCAATCCACAGACAAAATCTGTCTGACTTGAAAGATGCTCCCACATTTCGTGGGGTGTGTGCGTCTGGGCCCTTTGGACTGGCCAGTGGTGCTCTCTGGTAAAGGCATGGAATTGGTGGCTGCAGCCTCTAGGCTGGGTAGAAGCAGGGGACTTAAACCAGACCCAGAGCCAGAGCCAGTACAGTGGTAGCAAATGGATTGACCATTACTGCTGCAGGATTTGCAGGCTGTTATAATTTTGTAAGCCATAAACCATACGGAGCCTAAAGCAAAACAAGCTTTTCAAAGTCTACCAAAATCTGCCTTCAGTGGTCGCTATTAGAGAGGTGGGTTTGAACCCGAAATGACAAAATGAGAAGCAGCACTAATAGCAGGAGTAAGCTAAAAAAATAATAGTAATAAAATAAAAATAAAAAATAAGTAGTAGGCATAAGCTCTACTGCCAATAAAGGAAAAACAAGAGATGCTCATCAATGAATTACGATTTTAAATCACCTAGAAAAGAGAGGATCTCCTTATAGCAGCCAAAATCAATGAAGCTACAGATTTACTACAAGGTCAAGCTAAAAAATGAAGTAAATATGCAATGATTTTTTTTTAATTTGAGAGGGGGGGGGGAGGGGCAGAGAGATAGAGAGAATCCCAAGCAGGCTCCATGTTCAGTATGGAGCCTGATGTGGGGCTTGATCCTGGGATCATAACCTGAGCCGAAATCAAGAGTCAGACACTCAACAAACTAAGCCACCCAGGTGCTGCATGTGCAATGAATTTTAAGTTCTTATTAGTTTATGTTTAAGAGTGCCAGCTTTTTATAATAAAAATGTTTCAAAGCTACAAAAAAAAGGAAAAAGAAAAAAAAGTTTGAGTCAACAGTGTTTTTTTTTTAATTTTCCTAAGTAATTGCCAATATTTCATATAAAAATCCAGATTTTTCACAGCTATCAAAAAACTGAAAGATCTGCTACAATAGGCTAATATTCCTTCATTAGTAGTGGATGCCTCCTACTAATGGGGGCATGCTCTCTCAAGTTCACCACAGTAGCAAGCCACCTAACTTCAGTCATTTCAGCAGCTGGGTCTCAATGCTAATACAGCTACCTACTAGCTGTGTGTCCTTAAACATGTTCTTTTACCTGCCTATGCCTTATTTTCTTTCACCTGAAATATGGAAATAATAATGGCATATACCTCACAGGGTTGTTGTGAAAACTAAGACAGGTAATATGTATAACACACATAAACCTCTAGCACTTGGCATACAGTTAGCGCTCAATAAATGTTAAGTTACCATCATTACCTTGCCTGCCTCCCTGATCCCTGTAAGCATCTGAGTTTGGCATCTTTGACTTCACTTTCAAGAATGTTAAGTAAAAATATGGGGCGCCTGGGTGGCACGGTCGGTTAAGCGTCCGACTTCAGCCAGGTCACGATCTCGCGGTCCGTGAGTTCGAGCCCCGCGTCAGGCTCTGGGCTGATGGCTCGGAGCCTGGAGCCTGTTTCCGATTCTGTGTCTCCCTCTCTCTCTGCCCCTCCCCCGTTCATGCTCTGTCTCTCTCTGTCCCAAAAATAAATAAAAAAACGTTGAAAAAAATTTTTTTTAAAAAAGAATGTTAAGTAAAAATAAATACTGTGGCATATTCTTATGTTGAAGTACTAACCACCAGTGTGACTGTATTTAGAGATAGGCCTCTCAGGAGGTAATTAAGTTTAAAAGGAATAATAAGGACAGAGCCCTAATCCAATAGGACTGATGCCCTTATAAAACAAAGTGACAGAGGTGCCTGGGTGGTTCAGTTGGTTGAACATCTGACTCTACCCCAGATCATGATCTCGCATTCATGGGTTCAAGCCCCATGTGCTGACACAGCCTGGAGCCTGCTTCACATTCTGTGTCTCCCTGTCTCTCTGCCCCTCCCCCTGCTCGCACTCTGTCTCTCCCTGTCTCTCAAAAAATAAAATAAAACGTTAAATTTTTTTTCAATGAAGTGACAGCACAGACCTATCTCCCCCACACACCCTCCTCCCATACACTCACATGAGGACACAGCAAGAAGGCAGTCATCTGCAACCAACAAAAAGAGGACTCACAAGAAACCAACCCTGCTGGCAACATGATATTGGACTTCTGGACTCCAGAACTGTAAACAATTAATTTCTGTTGTTTAAGCCACATAGTCTGCGGTATTCTGTTATGGCAGCCTGAATAGACTAACACCTGATATGCTCTACAAAGAACATTTATTACTTTAAAAACCAGGAAGGGGCAATGTTACTAAAAACACACACAAACCAATACTTACAGTGTTCTCGTTATTTTACCACGTATAAGTATTTTGTTTAAAAGTCTTCAAAATTATATTAAAAGGTATTTCACTCTTCTTACAGAAAAAAAAAA